CCAAACCTATCTTCACTAAAAATATTTTTTTGGTAACATATTTTTTTTTAAATAAAAATTATTATAATATTAAATATCTTCTAGTATATTGGTGACCAACCTTGTGATCGAGCCATGGCTCGGAAGATGCATGGAGGTGGTCAATAGGTCAAATAAAATGGAGAGGAGAGGGGCTGTGGGGGACCTTAATGTAGGACCCACTCCACGTTTCTTTAATTCATTGCAACCATCTGATATGTTGAATTATTATTATGTTTTCTTAAGGTACAATCCTGACATGTTATCCAATTCTAATTTCATTTGACCTGCAAAATTCATGCTGTGCTGTACAGTATACAAGTATTTCTGGATCCCAAGTTCGGAAACACAGGGTCTTGATGATCTGTCAAGCTTCAATATCTATTTTTCTTTTTTCTTTTTTAAGACAAGGTCAAATAATAACTCTGTCCATCCGGCCATGAATTAAAATTAAACTAAAAGGCTTCCTAATTTTGGAAGCTCTCTGTACCATGCCAGCTATTCTTAATAAATTATACCATAGTATTTAATCTTACTATCATGTATGGTATTCTGCAGGTCAAGTCTTTCTTTTTAATATAAAAGAGTTATCTTAGTGTATCTAATGTTTTTTTAAATAGAAAAAACAATAATGAATTTAATGTAACACGGTCAATTCAATGGATTTAGAAATAACAAAGATAACTAGTAACAATATAATTTAATTTAAAAAAATTCAACACAACATTCTTAAAAAAAAATTAAGAGGACAACATATTATATTGATCCAAGTAATCTTTTAAATCAACAATCCGGAACATAAAACTATGATAACCTTGTATAAAGTAAACCAAAATAAGTCATGAAACTTAATTCTCAATCAACCCAATATTAAAAGATAAAATTAAAAAAATAATTAATTAAAAAAAGGACAAAATATAACCCAAGCCGGCCTAATTTAACCGGTCACATTCATAACTTGAGTCATGAGGTATGATAACCCCCATATAAAGTAAATCAAAACAAATTATGAAATATAATTTTTAATTAACTTAATGTTGAATGAAGAAATAAAAAGAAAATCAATCTAAAAAAGGAACACAAAAAATAACCTGATTGAACTCAGGTTAATCAACCAAACACATCACTCGGATCATAAGATTATGATAAACTCATAGAAAGTAAACTAAAAAAAAAAGAATTAAGTCACTCTGGGTTAATCTACCAAGCTCATGACCCTAGTCATAAAACTGTGATAACCTCATAAAAAGAAAATCAAACAAACTTCTAATAAACTCATTGTTGAATGATGAAATTGAAAAACTAACAATCTAAAAAAAGACATAATAAAATGGCATAAGTCTACTCGAGTTAGCTCGCAAAACTTGTAACTCAAGTCATGAGACTATGATAACCTTATAAAAAATAAAATAAAATAAACGATAAAGTCTAATTCATAATTAACTTAATATTGAAGGATGAAATTGTAAAAAAAAAAAGTTAAAATAAGAGACAAAAAAATTTGAGCTAACCATATTATCCCACGTAAACCTATGACATGGTTATAAGAATGAAATAACGATATAAAAAGAAAATTACAATAATTTATGAAGTCTAATATCTAATAAATCAGATTTTAAAAGATAAAATATAAAATATATAAAAAAAAGACCATTATATCAAATAGTGTTTGTGATGGTGATTGTTTTTAAAAACAACATAGATTAAAAAATATATTATGAATAGTATTTTGTGAGGTAGTGCATAATACAAGTACTATTTTTTTTTTGTTAATGTTAATATAATGTTTTTATTAATCACTTGTATGGCAAGTAAATCAAATAAATGCTCCTATCAATTACTTAGTTCTTTTGTATATGATTTTTTTTTATTTGTATAGATTTTTCCATCTCATAAATAAAAATATGTGGTATTTTTTATTCTGAAGATAAATATTTTATTAAATTAAAATTAAAGATATCTACTTTGTAAAATAATTTAAAATATACAATTCAATTTCTTTTTTAAATAAACTATACTATAATGGATGAATAGTTTGTTAGGTTTCCTAGAAGAACATAAATCTAGTGAAAATAATAGTTTTTATTTTTTTTGAGAGTATTATAAATTTTGTTAAACAATTTAATATTATTTAGGGTTTAAGCAATAATTACCTCAAGATCAATTTTTTTCTACGGTTTAATTAACCCTTCAAGGTTGGGTCATGACTCCAATTACTTCATCAAAAACCTTTTTTTAAGAGAGCAAAATTGATATAGCTTAAGTGTTAGCTTGTTATCTATATTTCTTTTCTCTACTTGTACTACAATATTACATCCTATTTCAAAAAATTCAAGGTAAAACATTTTATTTATAAGCCAAACTTAATATCTTAAGATATCACTCTTATCCCTAAAAAATATCACATATTTTATTTTGGGATAATTTCTAGAAATTTATGTAATATTCACATCTTTACTTAATTTCTTAAGTCTATAATTATAATATCATGTATTAATTACACTCTAGTATTCAATTTCAAAAACTTATTTATAATGAATTCATAATTGATTAATCACCATAATTTAATTTCTTACCAATAATTCTTAATGTTGTAACCTATTTGGTTTCTAATAAGCTAGTTCAAGTACAAATAATATTTATAATTAAAATAGAATTAGATAAAGTAACAATTTAAGTTATTATCAATTCAATAAACTAATTGTTCTATATTCAAAGATCAAGTTATGCGAACTTTATGATCACATGGTCATGTAACCTATAATTAAGATTAAGATCTGATTTCAGAAAGCGAAAAAAGATTTGAAAGTTGTGTGACACGATAGAAAACCGACCTCAAGATATCAACACTATTGAAAAAAAGTCAAATAACACCATGAAACTAGTTAATATTTGATAAGTTAGATTTAGTTCATTAAAAAACTAAAGAATGCAATAATCTCTCTTACACGTTAAACTGAAAGTTTAGAAGTATCATTCATCAAAAGTGCTGAAATTTAGGCTTTACATGTGTTTAAATAGTTTTGAGAAATTAATCCTAATGAATCTATTTTTGTAAGTTGAATTGACTTACTTATAAAAACTAACCCAAAAACTTTATTAGTAAAGCCTAAACCCTAATTTAAATAAGTTTTGAATCCTAATTGAAAATAAAATATTAATTAAGCCCAAATAACATTTGGGTTGTAGCTAACAAAATAAAATTAAAACTTATAAAACTAAGTTTTTGTGCTGCCGTGAAAAGAGAAGAAGAAAAGAAAAACATTATAGATGTGATACAAGACTTATTTATAACTTATAATGTTGTCTAATAATCTTAGGAACTGAATATTTATCATTCTTTTAGAAGGAAAAAAGATGTTATCTTTAATGCTTCTCTTTACAACTTTTTGTTATCCTTCAAATAATAGGAAACACAATTAAGTTGTTGAACTATTCTCCTTACACAATAATGAAACTTTGCTGTCAGATGTGTTTTCTAAGTCAGCTTGGATTTCTATGTTTTCTTTATTGTGTTTTCTCCTTTTCTGACAAGAAAATAAAATAAAATAAATAAATCATAGTATTTAAAAGAAATGATTAATATTTTCATTTATTATAGAAAATCCAAAACTAGTAAGGAATCTACAAAATAAATAAAAAAATTACAAAATAAAACTAGCTGAAACTAATACAAAATTGATACCCTTGTTATCGAAACTTCATGGTTTATATAATGGTGGATTGAGTCCTTTTTGCACACGGATTAAATATATTAAGATTCCCTATTGATGCTTTAAAGGATCTCCAAGTTCAACTTTGACCAAAACTTATTTAACTAGTTCATTCAATGCTTCTTTTATGCCTTTTTTTAGGAACTTATGATGGACTAATTTGAAACATGGAATGGGTCATTGATGTTCGTGAGCTGATCCATATCATCAAGTATAGCATCTAGTAATGCGTCATGATTTTTTAAATGTTAAAAAAAGTTATATATGGTTTAAATGAGAAAAAAATAACTAAAAAACCGAATTGTGAAAAAAATCGATTAGAATTTTGAAAAAAATTGTTTGGTTTGATTTTGGTTTTATAGGTCTGAAACCAAAAAAACTGAATCGAACCGAATCCAAATTGAAAAAACTAGAAAAAAACTGAGCCAAACAAGTTTGAACTGATTCTAAAAAATAAGAATTAAATCAAACCAAAACCTACTAATTTGAAACAGTTTTATTTTTTTTAAATTTTAGTTTAGTTATTTTTTTAATAAAAACTAAATCGAATAAAAAATAATAACTTCTAGCTTAACTTAACCTTTTAATAATAATTTTCTTAATATAACTATTATTTTTTTATTTGAAATGTTTTGATTTAAATATTTGAATATATTCTACCAAATTACATTTGCTTAACATGATATTTTTTAGCAATCCACTAAATGACTCGCTGTTGTTGGCAGCCAATTTTAAAAGGAAGGAGATGACACCAATATTTCCGGGCACTCTAATGGCATCATAAAACGGCAAATATAATTTTAATAAGCTGATAAAGAAAAAAAAATTTATAATCTTTTTTTTTTTTAAGTTTTAATTGATGTGCACATTGTGTAAAATTTGAGTGTCTCCGGAGAAGATGATGTAGTATTAGTATTATTATTATGGAAGCATTTTAATAAACTTTAAATTAAAATTGCCGGTTCATTTTAATAAAGGAGCCTGTCCATTTGTCCAACATCAACGAAACATTTCTAGTTTTTTTTTTTTACTGCCATTTGACCCCAGCTCTACCGCCAAGGAAGAAGAAGGCGGCTCCAATTTTGAGGACGTGCCACCTTGGAAATAGTGGGTCCCCAGGTTCAAAAGACTCTCTCTCCCCCCGCGTCAGCATTGCCAGGTATGTTTTAATACCCAACAACAACAACAACGACAACAATAATAAACCAAACATTAACTTGTGTCCCTCCCTAAAATAAATTAACCAGAATTAAAAACCAGAGTAAATTAAATTAATACAAGTGATTATACTGGTTCGTTTCCTGAGAAAAAAAGAAAAAAGAAAAAAGAAAAAAGAGAGAGAAGTAGCTGCTCTGTCCCTGAATTTATTGGTTTGTTCTTCCTGATTTTTCCAAAAGGAGAGCCTATTTTCCTTTCCTTTTCTCTCTTTCTTGTTTGTAGAAGCAACCAATTATTCTTCGTCTCTCTTAAACAACCTTTGTTTTCTCTACCTCTTAACACTCTCTCCCCTTCTTTCTTGATCTGCAACTGTTTAGCTCCAGGTTTGCTTCTGCACCTGCTCAAATGGGTCATTGTCATTTTTGCTAAAGATGGACCTGCCTCCTGATTCCAGGTACCCTTTTTTTTGTATTTTCCTTTGGGAGTTCTTGATTTCCTTGTTTCTTGTTTATTGGCCTTTTCTTTCTGTAACGTTCTCGAAGATCATTGGCTTCTCTTTTTTGTTTTTGGTTTTCGTTTCTTGCGGAGTTTAAGGTTGTGCCTGTGTCAAAAATTGTTCTTTTTTAGCTGGAAGAGTTCCTAATAATTGTTCTCTTTTTTGAGTGTTTGTGGTCAATTTTTTAGATCTTCTGTAAATTCCTAGCTTTAAATGAATGTGGATTAGTTCTTATGTGTATCCTTATGTTTGTGTGAATATTCTTTCATTTCCTTTGGGGTTTCAAATTTGCAAAGTCCGGGGATAAAATATTTGACGAATCCATATTTGAATATGAATGGCCTTTATGGGATGTGGTGTTTTTGAATTTTAACGAATGAAGTATGATTCTTTTACATTGGAGCTGAGTTACAACAATGATGTTATGTACTGTTGCAAGTTGTCCAATGCATCTACTTTGCAGCTGATTTCCTATACTTTGTTTGTTAAATTAGGCCTTAGAAGAAGGAATTGCCTATAAGCAAAGACCAATTGGTATCTGCATTCAATAAAGATTTTGGGGGGTGTTCTTTTTGGTACATCGAATCAACTATAAGTGTTTTTGAGATCAAGTTTTGAGAGATGACAAGGGGAAGGATAAGAGCAAGGCTCCGGCGGAGCCATCTCCACCCATTCTCTTGCTTAAGGCCAAATGTCAACAACAATGACTGGCCACATCCATTGTCAGGGCCTGGGTTCTCCAGAATTGTTCATTGCAACCGACCTGATAGGCACCTGAAAAAACCCTTGAAATACTGTTCAAATTATATATCTACCACCAAGTATAATATAGTCACATTCTTGCCCAAGGCTCTGTTTGAGCAGTTCCATCGGGTTGCTAATTTCTACTTCCTAGTGGCCGCAGGTCTTTCACTTACAGCTGTTGCCCCATTCTCTCCTGTGAGCATGATTGCACCATTGGCTTTTGTTGTCGGTATTAGTATGTTAAAAGAAGCTCTAGAAGATTGGCATAGGTTTGCGCAGGATATGAAGGTTAATAGTCGGAAAGCTAGTGTTCATAAAGGGGATGGGGTTTTTGGTTATAAGCCATGGCAGAAGATTCAGGTTGGTGATGTGGTGAAAGTGGAAAAAGACCAGTTTTTCCCAGCAGATTTGCTTCTATTGTCAGCAAGTTATGATGATGGGGTCTCCTATGTGGAGACCATGAACTTAGATGGTGAGACAAACTTGAAGGTTAAGAGATCGTTGGAGGTAACCTTGCCTTTGGAGGATGATGAGGCTTTCAAGAACTTTACTGGAATAATAAAATGTGAAGATCCAAACCCCAGTCTTTACACGTTTATTGGTAATTTTGAGTATGAACGACAGGTTTATCCTCTTGATCCTAGTCAGATTCTTCTTAGAGATTCAAAGCTCAGGAATACAGCTTATGTATATGGAGTTGTGATATTCACTGGTTTTGATAGCAAAGTCATGCAGAACTCAACAAAGTCTCCTTCAAAAAGGAGCAAAATAGAGAAAAAAATGGACAAAATTATATACATCCTTCTCAGCCTTCTTTTACTGATTTCATCCATTAGCTCAATTGGCTTTGCTGTGAAGATAAAGCTTCAAATGCCAGACTGGTGGTACATGCAACCCAGGAATCCTGATAATGATAGTCTCTATGACCCTGATCAGCCCAGCAAGTCAGGACTAGCTCATCTTGTCACTGCCCTCATCCTTTATGGGTATTTAATACCCATTTCTCTCTATGTCTCAATTGAGATTGTGAAGGTGTTTCAAGCAAGGTTCATTAACCAGGACATACAGATGTATGATGAAGAATCCGGCAATACTGCTCAAGCACGAACATCAAACTTAAACGAGGAGTTAGGTCAGGTTGACACGATCCTCTCTGATAAAACTGGCACCTTGACCTGTAATCAGATGGATTTTCTGAAATGTTCCATTGCTGGTACTGCATATGGTGTACGTTCAAGTGAAGTTGAACTTGCTGCAGCAAAACAGATGGCTATGGATCTTGAGGAGCAGGATACACAAATAACTAATGGTTCGAGGTATAGAAAAAGTGCACCTAATTCATGGGAGGATAGCAGAGGAGGTCCAGAAATTGAACTTGAGAGTGTTATTACTTCCAAAGTTGAAAATGATCAGAAGCCAGCAATAAAGGGATTTAGTTTTGAGGACAACAAGCTCATGAATGGAAATTGGTTGAAAGAGCCCAATACAGAGGTCATTTTGCTATTTTTCAGGATACTAGCAATTTGTCAGACAGCTGTTCCTGAGCTGAATGAAGAGACTGGTGTGTTTACATATGAAGCAGAGTCACCTGACGAAGCGGCCTTTCTTGCTGCGGCAAGAGAATTTGGTTTTGAATTTTGTAAACGAACTCAATCAAGTGTGTTTATTCGTGAAAAATATGCACACCCAGGACAATTGATTGAAAGGTGAGGTTGCAAATTGACAATTCCCTGTTTATATATGCGTTTTTTCCATCACTTTAATAAAAGGTATCTTACCATCTTAAATGTATCCTGGGGATCTTGCAGAGAGTTCAAAATTCTCAATTTGTTGGAATTTACAAGCAAAAGGAAGCGAATGTCTGTCATCGTGCGGGATGAGGATGGTCAAATTCTACTCCTGTGCAAAGGTGCTGATAGGTTAGGCCTGCAACTGTCTCTTACTTGGTCTATTCTAATCTTTAGCAATCAATTGTTAAAGCATCCAGAACCTTCTCCTGTGGCCTTAATAGGAAATTTAGGGGAAAAAAGAAGTAATTTAATGCATTCTCCTGCTTGAATTATGCAGTATAATATTTGATAGATTATCAAAGAATGGAAGAATGTATGAAACAACTACTGCTAAGCATTTGAATGACTACGGAGAAGTTGGGTTGCGTACATTGGCACTTGCTTATAAAAAGCTTGATGAGTCTGAGTATTCAGCATGGAACAATGAGTTTGTCAAAGCCAAAACTTCTATTAGCGCTGACAGAGAAGCAATGCTTGAGCGAGTTGCAGATATGATGGAAAAGGATCTGATTCTTGTTGGTGCTACTGCAGTGGAAGACAAATTGCAAAAAGGGGTACATGATAAGATTGCCTTAGAGACATAATTAAGATGTTCCCTTTTGTTTTGTTTCTGCTTATTTCCATTTTTTTTCTCTCAAGGTGCCCCAGTGCATAGACAAACTTGCACAAGCTGGTCTCAAGATTTGGGTTTTGACAGGGGATAAGATGGAAACTGCAATCAACATAGGGTTTGCCTCTTAAGATTCTACATACAAGTTTCTTTGTAATCTATGTTTACTTTATTTCAGAAGCTATAAATTTCTGCTTGTGCATGATGCAGATTTTCATGTAGTTTACTCCGTCAGGGCATGAAGCAGATCTTCATAACTGTAATGAATTCAGATGCAGTAGCCCAGGAATCAAAGCAGGTGAAATGCTAGGTGAAAGAGTACCAGCATTTTCCTTTTAGGGACTTGATTTCCTTTGATGCCTGAGATTTTTGTAATTCATCATCACACAGGCTGTGCAAGAGAACATTTTGATGCAAATCACCAATGCCTCTCAAATGGTCAAGCTGGAAAAGGATCCGCATGCTGCATTTGCATTAATTATTGATGGAAAAACCCTATCCTATGCTTTAGAGGATGATATGAAGCATCAGTTCTTAGCATTGGCTGTTGTCTGTGCATCTGTCATATGCTGTCGTGTATCTCCCAAGCAGAAGGCACTAGTATGCATTTTTTACCTTAATCAGTGGACTTTCTTCCATATTGTATTTTCTTTTCTTGAATCATCAAACTGACAATGCCTTTACAAATAAATACACATCTTTTTGTTGTGTTTTAATTTATTCAATCTGCTGATATAGGTAACAAGATTAGTAAAGGAAGGAACTGGAAAAACCACGTTAGCGATAGGTGATGGTGCAAACGATGTTGGGATGATTCAAGAAGCTGACATTGGAGTTGGTATCAGTGGGGTGGAAGGCATGCAGGTTGGTAACATGTCTAACTGATTCCTTCGGCATGCAGCATCTACAAAATGATATTGCCTTTTTCTCTGAGAAGAAAACTTGGAGACATTCTATGTTTGCGTGCTGTTATTTCCAGCTGTTTCTGGGCAGTATCTGTAACTTTTCTTTTTGCAGTTTCCAAATTTCATGTCTTGCAGATTTTAAAATTGGGTTGGACACGTGTGACATAATACTTGTCTTCCATCTTTGGTCTTAAATTGGAACTGAGATCAAAATATTATGCTGAGCTTTTATTTTATTTTCTGCCTTCCAATTTCACCACTTTCTCATAACTTCTTGTGGTTGTCTAGTGAAGAAACAGAGCATCAAGTTTTACTTATACATGTAAGCTTCGTAATATTCCAGTGAAGCTTATGAGTTTTCTAATGGATTTACAGGCTGTGATGGCAAGTGATTTTTCTATTTCCCAGTTTCGGTTTCTTGAAAGACTTTTAGTAGTCCATGGACACTGGTGCTACAAGAGAATTGCTCAGATGGTAATAATCAAGAGACTATCTCATATTTCCCTTTATCATTTGTATTTTAGTATCCACTGCACAGACATGTGTGCTCCGCATGCTTAGTTGTTGTTTCATTAAATGGGTTCTTTTGCTTTCAGATTTGCTATTTTTTCTACAAAAACATAGCATTTGGCCTTACCCTTTTCTACTTTGAGGCATTCACAGCCTTTTCTGGGCAATCTGTTTACAATGACTGGTACATGCTATTGTTCAATGTCATTCTTACCTCATTGCCTGTCATTTCACTTGGAGTTTTCGAACAAGATGTGTCTTCTGAGGTCTGCTTACAGGTTAGTCCCATTAATCACTAGACTATTTTTATGCAACTTTCCCCATTTTACCAGTTGTCTCTCTGCCATGATAATAATGTTATTTCTTCATTCTGCAGTTCCCAGCATTGTATCAGCAAGGGCCTAAAAATTTGTTTTTTGATTGGTATAGAATACTTGGGTGGATGGGTAACGGTCTCTATACCTCTCTCGTCATTTTCATCCTCAATATCATGATCTTTTATAACCAAGCATTCCGCGCTGAAGGCCAAACTGCTGATATGGCTGCCATGGGTGCTACTATGTTCTCTTGCATAATCAGTGCTGTAAACTGCCAGATTGCGCTCACAATGAGCCACTTTACGTGGATACAACATCTCTTTGTCTGGGGAAGCGTCGCCACTTGGTACTTGTTTCTATTACTTTATGGGATGTTGCCTCCATATTATTCAGAGGATGCCCACAAAATTTTAGTTGAAGCTCTTGGTCCAGCACCTATCTACTGGTGTACCATCCTCTTGGTAACAGTCGCATGTATTCTGCCCTACCTTGCTCACATATCATTCCAAAGATGTTTCAATCCGATGGATCATCATATCATCCAAGAAATCAAGTACTATAAGAAGGATGTTAAGGATCAACACATGTGGAGAAGGGAACGATCCAAGGCTAGACAAGAAACCAAGATTGGGTTCACAGCAAGGGTAGATGCAAAGATCAGACAGCTGAAAGGGAAGCTGCAGAAGAAGTCTTCAACCTTGATTTTGCCAAATCGTATGCCTTCCCCGTGTTAATGAAGTCCATTATTTTTTCTGCTTGCTTTTGGAAAATTTGTAGGGTTTTTCGGCCTTCTGCAGTTGCTTCCATAGCCTTTTTTATTAGTTTCTTAGTAATTCTTTATCCAGTTATAGCGGGTTCGTGCAAGTCCCCAGTTCATTACACAAAAAGCAAGCTAAGTATTATTGTATGTACACTAACTGTACGATTTGAGGAGTCAAGCTTGTGACAATAGTTGAGAGATTTAACGCATTTGCTTCCTCGTCTTCACCCCGTAACTTCCGATATAAAGAATATAGCAGCGATTATGTTCTGTGAGTTGTTTAACATTTTTGAATCTGCCATTTTCTTTATATTTTCTTGACATTCTTTCGAGTTATATAGTAGTTTAGCAATGGAGATGGCTCTTCGTCTTGCTGGGTAATAAATTTGTAATTACCACTGACAAATAAGGGAGCAAGAACACGGGGACCGTTAATACAGGTGCTCCTTGCAGGCGAAGAAACCTGATGAATAAAATTGATTTGAAGACGCGAAAATCTCTTTTTTAAAAGTGTTTGTTTATACCATAATTCCCATTAAAAAAAAAAAAAAACGCCGCCTTTGGATGCAATCAAAGCTCATAGACATTCTTTACTACTCGAAAGAAAAGACTGGAACATGAAGGCATGACGAAGACATAAAATTTGTCAAAGAAAAAAACAAACAAACAAACAAATAAAATAAGAAAAAAGAACCTGCACACATTGCCTCTCCCCCTCTCAATATGGTCGGTCCATGAAGGCATGACGAAGACATAAAATCAAAGATTCCCACTGCGGTACCATGACAACCTAACTTCTGATTATCAAGTTAAATTTTAATTAATTTAATAATCTAATAAAAAATAAAATAATAATAATAAAAAATAAATAAAAAGAATATTATTTTAGACAAAATTGATTGACACATAGAATTCATGACTTCAACATGAGATATGTCAAGATTGTGTATTTATTATGCATTCCAAATCATGAGGTTAGGATACTTTAATAGAAAAATATTAACAAAAAATCAAAATAAAATTACATAAATTAAAAAAAGATAAATCAAGATATTTAATAGCGCAACACGAGTCACATAATTGATTGTGTTTAATGAATTTATTTATTAAAATTAATTTATAATATAAATTGATAAACACATAAAATATGTTGAATAAAAGGAAAGGAAAAAAATAATATGTAAGGTTGAATATATTAAAAATATTATAAAAACAAACTTTTTTAGTTTATAAAAAATTAATTTATATGAAATATATATAAAACAATTACAGAAGAATTATATTAACCTCATAAAAATTTTAAAACACTCAATATAATTAAAATACAATCGCTATTTAAAAAAGACTAAATAAGCTAAAAAAATGACATAGGAGAGGTATTAACTAAAAAAAATTAAAAATATTTTAAAAAACATACATTAAAAAAAGATATTAATTGAAAAACATATATATATATAACAAAAGAGAAAAGTTCAGGCTCGCGTGTTTGGTCCTACTAATTTTTTTTTCTTTTTGAAAGGGGCCGACGATACATTGCCTGTTGTGGCAAATAACATGTTGTTTGCCGGGTTATATTCTGGCCATCACTATGGTAGCTAGAAAATCAAGTTTATGAAAAACTTTTATTCAACTCATTTCAACCATAAAACACTCTATAAACACTCTTGAATCACCAAGAAACCAATCTATCAACCTTTTAAACCTTAAAATACGATTCAAACCACCAAAACAAACTGTAAAAAACATTACATCCTTGACCTAGATTTGATTTTTTAGGTTACATTAAGGTTTAAAATAACCAAAATAAGACTCTTCTTGTAGAACTTGTTGGTATCAATTTTAACATGTTTGGTGGTCAGAACCGTTACTAATGAAGAGCTTTCTCTCTCTTTGTCAGAACCCGGTGACTCCTCTCTCTTCTTCTATGAAAAAACTAAAAACTAAAAAAATAAAGTTTGATACCAAAATGTATTTTTTAAAGATTAAAGGGACTAGTTATCTTATAGCAAAAAAAGACAAGGGGCTAAAATGTGCTTCACAAACAAATTTGAAAGCACCTATGTTACCTATGTTTTTCACTTATGTTCTCTCCTTTTCAATTTAACCTCCCTAAAAAAATATATGCAATTGGATACTCATTTAGGATAAAAAGAGCTTAGTTGTGTAAAGAAAAAGTTTGAGGATCAAGTTGAGAATTTTGAAAAAAAATCCTAACTCCAATCCACAATGATCGGTAAAAGAGTGAACAATGATTTTATGCATAGTGAAACATCACACACTTTATATTTTGTTAACTAAATTGGTGCCCGTGCTACGCTACAAGTACTCGTTATTTTTCTAGTAAAATATTGCCCCCATGACCATGATTATCATACTAGAAGTACTATACATAAAAAAGTACTATACATAAAAAAAACTCATGAAGTCCTATTTATAGGAAATGAAATGTTGTTGGTTGACTAAAAAAAATAGCAAGTAAAAGAATGAAGGTTAAAATCAAAACAAAAAAAAATAAAAAATCAAAGGGAAACAACAAATTTTCAATTTCAGAGTTAAATTAAAAATAATAAAAACATTAACAAATGAAAAGAACGAGGACCAAAATAACAATAAAAAAAATACATAATTAACTTTGATTGAAGGGTGAATTTAAAAATAATAAAACTTCTATAAAAGAATAAAAAAATTAAAATAATAAGGATCAAATTGAAAATATGACACGACTAAAAGGTTGATGTCTTTTCTCAAGTACAAGAGTTTCGAAGTAATAAATAATCCGACAAAAACCGGGGTCGAACCACAAGGAGGTTAATGGTATAAATTATAAACAATAATAATACAACAACAATAATAACAAGAATAACAACAACAACAACAACAACAACAATAGTAGTAGTACTAATAGTAGTAGTATTAGTAATAATAATAATAATACTACTATTAAAAGTAGTAGTACTAATAATAATAATAATAATAATAATAAATAAGAAGAAGAAGAAGAAGTTAATGATAACTTTGAAATGGAAGATCAATGTGAGTATCAAACAATGATAACAACAAACATCAAGATTAGAAGATCCACTAATAATATTCCAAACAAGTATAATATAAACTTTTTTTATTAAAATAAAAACCACACAGAAAAAAGATTCCAATCAGATTATAAATTATTAACATGATTACATTAGTTATCTTATTTGAATAATGTTAATACTTGTAAATGTTGTCAGGTATTCATGATTATAACTTATGTTAACAACAAATCAAGTTCCTTTCATAGCACAAGTGTCGGTTATACCATACGGTTTGTGCTATGAAAGTGCCACATATTTATTATACCAAGTGTTATACAACATAAATCTAGATTAGTCATTTAACAAACAAAGTATTAAAGAGTAAATAAGATAACAAATATAAAACATGTTAGTATCAAACATTAAAATCTATGTTAAGTTTACACTATATTTATTCTTACACCATGAGTGTAACCTTTTCACCTTGACATAATAAACTTAGCTAAACATAATTAAGAAGAGAAACATAAATAAACAAGATAAGAATATAAATAAGATAAAAGTTAACTAAGTAAAGGAAAGGAATTGAAAGGCATAAACAAAATATTTATGAAAACAAAACTTAAGCATTACACAAATACAAAGAGAGAAAGCAAGAGCATAATCTTGATGTGGAAATCAAGATACTTAAATGCATGGCAAATGCCTCCTTTTATAGGTCAAAATTGAGAACTATTGATTTGATAACTAATTGATGAGTGGGTGACCAACTCTTGACTTGGTGACAATATTTATTTTCTTTTGTCTGAATAAAATGTTATTGATAACATCAGAATTTGAACTAGACCTCAATATGAAATTGTAGAAAATTATCTCAGCTTTCCAAAAATTAAGGTCATTTGGACTTGTAGAACTAAGATATAGGCTGAACACTGAACAGTGTTTGGGCTGTAGGACAGATTCGAACTTCTTCATTGTTGCTATAATTTGAACTTGAAAATGACCTTATTAAAACCAGACCTCACATGAAAGTTGCAGATTTATGTCTTACCTTTCCATCCATATAAAGTAGATCTAAATCTGAGATCTACAACTCCAGATATGACCCAAGTACCGAACAATATTCTACTTTGGACTACACCATCATCTCTTTTCTAAGTTTGGCCATCTCTTTATCCTTTCAATTTCAATACTTAAACTCATCAATCAATCCTTTTATTTATGTGATAGGCCTGTATTTTAGATGAATATTTACCACAAATTAAAGGTATCTTATATTATTAGATATGTTATTATAAAACATGCTTTAGTTAAGGAGTTATTGATACTTCAAGTGCAAAATAATGATATAAAACCTTAATAAAAATGTACTTTTAAGTACCAATCACACCAGCTTATTACTAGTTCCTAATAAACAAAGCGTTAAAATAGAAAAACAATTTGTAAATTCTACAAAGCAAGGCATTCATCATAACTTCCATTAATCTATCCAGATAAACAAACTCTCATTAAATTTATATATCTGCTCAATAACTCTTAAACAAGATATTAATAAACCTTTCTTTTGTGCTCAATATATCAACACCTAGTTATGGAGCTTTACTTGAAAGAAAAATATTTTTTGTTCTAATGTTTAAGGTTAACTTTCTTGGGTTGATATATTTATTTATTTATCTTTTTATTAATATACATATAACTTAAAAATAAAATGTATCTTTAACTCATATAACAAGCTTTCAGCTAATGACTCTCAGACCAGTTGGTCTTAGTGCTTTTAGTGTTGAGATACCCCTTCGAACTTAACAACTCGGGTTGCAGATACTAATACGTAGATAGTGCAATATTTGATTCCCTTAAGCTTTTCTCCTCAACCTATGTAACAAGTGTTAGGCTAATAGCTCCTAAATTAGTTGACTTTTAGGGTATCAGGTGTTAAAACACCCATTCGGGCTTAATTGCTTAGGTTAAGGAGGCTACAAAACCAAACTTATCTATGTTTTTATTATCATTTTTTTTTATTTTTTATTTTTTCAATTTATATACTACCCCTTTCCTTTAGTTGTTACCTTTAACAAAAGAATATAAATAATATAATAATCCAATATACAACCCATAATCATATGTTAAAGTGTGTGTGAAAATAAAGGTTTAAAAATACTTGTTAAATGAGTATATGAGCTGAATTAAGTGATAACAATGCGAGAGTTTGTAAACATGCATATTTCAAGAAGTATTTTGATAGATCTTTTTATGAAT